TTTTAAAACAATGTTTACCGAAACTAATATTTTTTACACAATCTTTCTCGAAATATATAAGACTTTGAATTTTAAAGAGAAAAGAACAGTCCATTGATTAGAGTCGAATAATCAAAGGTGAATTGAATATTTCGATATCAAAAACATTTCTCAAATAGTAATTGCTCGAGACAGACGCTTCAAGCTAAGACGGCTCCAAAACAGTAACAAAATGCCCCGGGTGAGGTTCGAACTCACGACCTTCAGATTTCTCCAAGTTGCGGATTATGAGACTGACGGGCTGCCTACTGCGCTACCGAGGCTCAGGGGACGAAAGGAAATATTTTCATTGCAACGAAACTGATTGTGTTATATCTTTTCAATCAACTTCCTACAAATACGGATTTGTGCACGTAGCGGGATATTACATGTTTTTTAGAAGATATTATCATCCTTCGTGATTATAGAGACACTGGATGTGAAAATCGTTACAACGTAATGTAACTTACGATCTATATGTTTCTTTTTCAATATTCTTTTGAAATAGGCCGTCCAGAAAGGTAATTTAAGCATGAAAGAAAATGAACTAATGAACAGAAATTTTCAAATCCGTTAACATCATTTAAATAAATCCGTTTGTCTCTTAAGAACCTTGTTATTTTTATATTCATAGAATTAGTATTTTTATCTTTAATGCTTTTAAATTCTCTCTTCATTTTCAAACTCTTACAAGTTTCGAATTCTACATGTACGTCTTGATAGGTGTCAATAACATCTGTTTCAAAAAGCAAGGTTCGACCGAGATTTGAACTCGGATCGCTGGATCCGAGTACAGATGCTAACCATTACACCATGGAACCCTATTTCCCATGCCGGGAATCGAACCCGGCCGCCTGGGTGAAAGCCAGGAATCCTAACCACTAGACCACATGGGAGACTCTAGGAACGACAAACAACGTCTCAATCGAATTGTTCTTATCTTTGCACATCAGCATTATAATTGTTTTTATAAAGTTTGTTTTATTCTTCTGAAAAAACTTTTAAGTGAATTTAGGACGCATGACTGATAGAGAAACTATTTTATTTTGCATGATTTCACTTTCTTGAGCAATGAATTCACACAAACTTTAAATTTACAATAGAAAAATCATTTACAAATTTCCTTCGTATGCGTTCATTGAACAGAATTTACTATACAGCCTTTTCACATTATATCACCTTTCAAGTTTTTTATTCCGATTTGATAAGCTCTTCCTCAAGTGACAACTACATATGTCGTATCTAAAACAATAAAGCACGAGATGAACTCGGATCGTGAAATCCAGAGTAAACACATAACCAACTAGCAAAACCCCTGGGAAGAATCTACATAGAAGAACAGAACAAAACAACGTCTCAATCGAATTGTTCTTATCTTTGCACATCAGCATTATAATTGTTTTTATAAAAGTTTGGTTTTAATTCTTCTCGAAAGAAACATTTTTAAGTGGAATTTGAGGACGCATGGACTGAATAGAGAAACGTATTTTATTTTGCATGATTTCACTTTCTCTCGAAGCAGATGAAATTCACACAAACTTTAAATTTACAATAGAAAAATCATTTACAAAATTTCGCTTCGTACTGCGTTCATTGGAACAGGAATTTACTATACAAGCCTTTTTCACATTAAAAAATATCACTCTTATCAAGTTTTCTTTCAGATTCCGGATTTGGATAAGCTCTTCCTCAGAGGTGACAACTCCCACATTATTGTCGTATCTAAAAGCAATAAAGTTCCACCGAGATTTGAACTCGGATCGCTGGATTCAAAGTCCAGAGTGCTAACCGTTACACCATGGAACCCAAACTTCCCATGCCGGGAATCGAACCCGGGCCGCCTGGGTGAGAGCCAGGAATCCTTGCCACTAGACCACATGGGACTTCAAGTACATTCCTTTCAAGTACATTCGGATTTTTGTGAAAATGCAATGTCTTTATTTCTTTATCTAATTCTTTTAAACAGTTGAAGTATTTTTATCAAAAAACGTCACTTTTTTTACTTCTAAAACAATGTTTACCGAAACAAATATTTTTTACACCATCTTTCCCGAAATATATAAGACTGATTTTTAAAGAGAAAAGAACAGTCCATTGCTTAGAGTCGAATAATCAAAGGTGAATTGAATATTTCGATATCAAAACCATTTCTCAAATAGTAATTGCTCGAGACAGACGCTTCAAGCTAAGACGGCTCCAAAACAGTAACAAAATGCCCCGGGTGAGGTTCGAACTCACGACCTTCAGATTTCTCCAAGTTGCGGATTATGAGACTGACGCGCTGCCTACTGCGCTACCGAGGCTCGGGGGACGAAAGGAAATATTTTCATTGCAACGAAACTGTTTGTGTTATATCTTTTCAATCAACTTCCTACAAATACGGATTTGTGCACGTAGCGGGACATTAGATGTTTTTTAGAAGACATTATCATCCTTCGTGATTATAGAGACACTGGATGTGAAAATCGTTACAACGTAATGTAACTTACGATCTATGTGTTTCTTTTTCAATATTCTTTTGAAATAGGCCGTCCGGAAAGGTAATTTAAGCATGAAGGAAAATGAACTAATCAACAGAAATTTTCAAATCCGTTAACCTCATTTAAATAAATCCGTTTGTCTCGAAAGAACCTTGTTATTTTTATATTCATAGAATTAATATTTTTATCTTTAATGCTTTTAAATTCTCTCTTCCTTTTCAAACTCTTACAAGTTTAGAATTCTACATGTACGTCTTGATAGGTGTCAATAACATCTGTTTCAAAAAGCAAGGTTCCACCGAGATTTGAACTCGGATCGCTGGATTCCGAGTCCAGAGTGCTAACCATTACACCATGGAACCCTTATTTCCCATGCCGGGAATCGAACCCGGGCCGCCTGGGTGAAAGCCAGGAATCCTAACCACTAGACCACATGGGAGACTCTAGGAACGATCAAACAACGTCTCAATTCGAATTGTTCTTATCTTTGCACATCAGCATTATAATTGTTTTTATAAAAGTTTGGTTTTAATTCTTCTCGAAAGAAACATTTTTAAGTGGAATTTGAGGACGCATGGACTGAATAGAGAAACGTATTTTATTTTGCATGATTTCACTTTCTCTCGATGCAGATGAAATTCACACAAACTTTAAATTTACAACAGAAAAATCATTTACAAAATTTCGCTTCGTACTGCGTTCATTGGAACAGGAATTTACTATACAAGCCTTTTTCACATTAAAAAATATCACTCTTATCAAGTTTTCTTTCAGATTCCGGATTTGGATAAGCTCTTCCTCAGAGGTGACAACTCCCACATTATTGTCGTATCTAAAAGCAATAAAGATTCCACCGAGATTTGAACTCGGATCGCTGGATTCAAAGTCCAGAGTGCTAACCGTTACACCATGGAACCAAACTTCCCATGCCGGGAATGGAACCCGGGCCGCTGGGTGAGAGCCAGGAATCCTTACCACTAGACCACATGGGACTCCCTGCAAGTACATTCGGAGTTTTGTGAAAATGCAATGTCTTTATTTCTTTATCTAATTCTTTTAAACAGTTGAAGTATTTTTATCAAAAAACGTCACTTTTTTATTTTTAAAACAATGTTTACCGAAACAAATATTTTTTACACCATCTTTCTCGAAATATATAAGACTTTGATTTTTAAAGAGAAAAGAACAGTCCATTGCTTAGAGTCGAATAATCAAAGGTGAATTGAATATTTCGATATCAAAAACATTTCTCAAATAGTAATTGCTCGAGACAGACGCTTCAAGCTAAGACGGCTCCAAAAGAGTAACAAAATGCCCCGGGTGAGGTTCGAACTCACGACCTTCAGATTTCTCCAAGTTGCGGATTATGAGACTGACGCGCTGCCTACTGCGCTACCGAGGCTCGGGGGACGATAGGAAATATTTTCATTGCAACGAAACTGTTTGTGTTATATCTTTTCAATCAACTTCCTACAAATACGGATTTGTGCACGTAGCGGGACATTAAATATTTTTTAGACGACATTATCATCCTTCGTGATTATAGAGACACTGGATGTGAAAATCGTTACAACGTAATGTAACTTACGATCTATGCGTTTCTTTTTCAATATTCTTTTGAAATAGGCCGTCCGGAAAGGTAATTTAAGCATGAAGGAAAATGAACTAATCAACAGAAATTTTCAAATCCGTTAAAATCCTTTAAGTAAATCCGTTTGTCTCGAAAGAACCTTGTTATTTTTATATTCATAGAATTAATATTTTTTATCTTTAATGCTTTCAAATTCTCTCTTCCTTTTCAAACTCTTACAAGTTTCGAATTCTACATGTACGTCTTGATAGGTGTCAATAACATCTGTTTCAAAAAGCAAGGTTCCACCGAGATTTGACCTCGGATCGCTGGATTCCGAGTCCAGAGTGCTAACCATTACACCATGGAACCCTTATTTCCCATGCCGGGAATCGAACCCGGGCCGCCTGGGTGAAAGCCAGGAATCCTAACCACTAGACCACATGGGAGACTCTAGGAACGATCAAACAACGTCTCAATTCGAATTGTTCTTATCTTTGCACATCAGCATTATAATTGTTTTTATAAAAGTTTGGTTTTAATTCTTCTCGAAAGAAACATTTTTAAGTGGAATTTGAGGACGCATGGACTGAATAGAGAAACGTATTTTATTTTGCATGATTTCACTTTCTCTCGATGCAGATGAAATTCAAACAAACTTTAAATTTACAACAGAAAAATCATTTACAAAATTTCGCTTCGTACTGCGTTCATTGGAACAGGAATTTACTATACAAGCCTGTTTTCACATTAAAAAATATCACTCTTATCAAGTTTTCTTTCAGATTTCGGATTTGGATAAGCTCTTCCTCAGAGGTGACAACTCCCACATTATTGTCGTATCTAAAAGCAATAAAGTTCCACCGAGATTTGAACTCGGATCGCTGGATTCAAAGTCCAGAGTGCTAACCGTTACACCATGGAACCCAAACTTCCCATGCCGGTAATCGAACCCGGGCCGCCTGGTTGAGAGCCAGGAATCCTTGCCACTAGACCACATGGGACTTCAAGTACATTTCCTTTCAAGTACATTTGGATTTTTGTGAAAATGCAATGTCTTTATTTCTTTATCTAATTCTTTTAAACAGTTGAAGTTTTTTTATCAAAAAACGTCAATTTTTTACTTTTAAAACAATGTTTACCGAAACAAATATTTTTTACACCATCTTTCCCGAAATATATAAGACTTTGAATTTTAAAGAGAAAAGAACAGTCCATTGCTTAGAGTCGAATAATCAAAGGTGAATTGAATATTTCGATATCAAAAACATTTCTCAAATAGTAATTGCTCGAGACAGACGCTTCAAGCTAAGACGGCTCCAAAACAGTAACAAAATGCCCCGGGTGAGGTTCGAACTCACGACCTTCAGATTTCTCCAAGTTGCGGATTATGAGACTGACGCGCTGCCTACTGCGCTACCGAGGCTCGGGGGACGAAAGGAAATATTTTCATTGCAACGAAACTGTTTGTGTTATATCTTTTCAATCCACTTCCTACAAATACGGATTTGTGCACGTAGCGGGACATTAAATGTTTTTTAGAAGACATTATCATCCTTCGTGATTATAGAGACACTGGATGTGAAAATCGTTACAACGTAATGTAACTTACGATCTATGTGTTTCTTTTTCAATAATCTTTTGAAATAGGCCGTCCGGAAAGGTAATTTAAGCATGAAGGAAAATGAACTAATCAACAGAAATTTTCAAATCTGTTAACCTCATTTAAATAAATCCGTTTGTCTCGAAAGAACCTTGTTATTTTTATATTCATAGAATTAATATTTTTTATCTTTAATGCTTTTAAATTCTCTCTTCCTTTTCAAACTCTTACAAGTTTTGAATTCTACATGTACGTCTTGATAGGTGTCAATAACATCTGTTTCAAAAAGCAAGGTTCCACCGAGATTTGACCTCGGATCGCTGGATTCCGAGTCCAGAGTGCTAACCATTACACCATGGAACCCTTATTTCCCATGCCGGGAATCGAACCCGGGCCGCCTGGGTGAAAGCCAGGAATCCTAACCACTAGACCACATGGGAGACTCTAGGAACGACCAAACAACGTCTCAATTCGAATTGTTCTTATCTTTGCACATCAGCATTATAATTGTTTTTATAAAAGTTTGGTTTTAATTCTTCTCGAAAGAAACATTTTTAAGTGGAATTTGAGGGCGCATGGACTGAATAGAGAAACGTATTTTATTTTGCATGATTTCACTTTCTCTGGAAGCAGATGAAATTCACACAAACTTTAAATTTACAATAGAAAAATCATTTAAAAATTTCGCTTCGTACTGCGGTCATTGGAACAGGAATTTACTATACAAGCCTTTTTCACATTAAAAAATATCACTCTTATCAAGTTTTCTTTCAGATTCCGGATTTGGATAAGCTCTTCCTCAGAGGTGACAACTCCCACATTATTGTCGTATCTAAAAGCAATAAAGGTTCCACCGAGATTTGAACTCGGATCGCTGGATTCAGAGTCCAGAGTGCTAACCGTTACACCATGGAATCCAAACTTCCCATGCCGGGAATCGAACCCTTTCCGCCTAGGTGAGAGCCAGGAATCCTAACCACTAGACCACATGGGAGACTCTAGGAACGACCAAACAACGTCTCAATTCGAATTGTTCTTATCTTTGCACATCAGCATTATAATTGTTTTTATAAAAGTTTGGTTTTAATTCTTCTAGAAAGAAAACTTTTTAAGTGGAATTTGAGAACGCATGGACTGAATAGAGAAACGTATGTTATTTTGCATGATTACACTTTCTCTGGAAGCAGATGAAATTCACACAAACTTTAAATTTACAATAGAAAAATCATTTACAAATTTTCGCTTCGTACTGCGTTCATTGGAACAGGAATTTACTATACAAGCCTTTTTCACATTAAAAAATATCACTCTTATCAAGTTTTCTTTCAGATTCCGGATTTTGATAAGCTCTTCCTCAGAGGTGACAACTCTCACATTACTGTCGTATCTAAAAGCAATAAAGGTTCCACCGATATTTTAACTCGGATCGCTGGATTCAAAGTCCAGAGTGCTAACCGTTACACCATGGAACCCAAACTTCCCACGCCGGGAATCGAACCCGGGCCGCCTGGGGAGAGCCAGGAATCCTTACCACTAGACCACATGGGACTCCTTTCAAGTACATTCGGATTTTTGTGAAAATGCAATGTCTTTATTTCTTTATCTAATTTTTTTAAACAGTTGAAGTATTTTTATCAAAAAAGTCACTTTTTTTTACTTCTAAGACAATGTTTACCGAAACAAATATTTTTTACACCATCTTTCCCGAAATATATAAGACTTTGATTTTTAAAGAGAAAAGAACAGTCCATTGCTTAGAGTCGAATAATCAAAGGTGAATTGAATATTTCGATATCAAAAACATTTCTCAAATAGTAATTGCTCGAGACAGACGCTTCAAGCTAAGACGGCTCCAAAACAGTAACAAAATGCCCAGAGTGAGGTTCGAACTCACGACCTTCAGATTTCTCCAAGTTGCAGATTATGAGACTGACGCGCTGCCTAATGCGCTACCGAGGCTCGGGGGACGAAAGGAAATATTTTCATTGCAACGAAACTGTTTGTGTTATATCTTTTCAATCAACTTCCTACAAATACGGATTTGTGCACGTAGCGGGACATTAAATATTTTTTAGAAGACATTATCAACCTTCGTGATTATAGAGACACTGGATGTGAAAATCGTTACAACGTAATGTAACTTACGATCTATGTGTTTCTTTTTCAATATTCTTTTGAAATAGGCCGTCCGGAAAGGTAATTTAAGCATGAAGGAAAATGAACTAATCAACAGAAATTTTCAAATCCGTTAACCTCATTTAAATAAATCCGTTTGTCTCGAAAGAACCTTGTTATTTTTATATTCATAGAATTAATATTTTTTATCTTTAATGCTTTTAAATTCTCTCTTCCTTTTCAAACTCTTACAAGTTTCGAATTCTACATGTACGTCTTGATAGGTGTCAATAACATCTGTTTCAAAAAGCAAGGTTCCACCGAGATTTGAACTCGGATCGCTGGATTCCGAGTACAGATTGCTAACCATTACACCATGGAACCCATATTTCCCATGCCGGAATCGAACCGTGGCCCCCTGGGTGAATGCCAGGAATCCTAACCACTAGACCACATGGGAGACTTCAGGAACGACCAAACATCGTCTCAATTCGAATTGTTCTTATCTTTGCACATCAGCATTATAATTGTTTTTATAAAAGTTTGGTTTTAATTCTTCTGGAAAGAAAATTTTTAAGTGGAATTTAAGGACGCATGGACTGAATAGAGAAACGTATTTTATTTTGCATGATTTCACTTTCTCTGGAGCAGATGTAATTCACACAAACTTTAAATTTACAATAGAAAAATCATTTACAAATTTTCGCTTCGTACTGCGTTCATTGGAACAGGAATTTACTATACAAGCCTTTTTCACATTAAAAAATATCACCTCTTTCAAGTTTTTTTCAGATTCCGGATTTGGATAAGCTCTTCCTCAGAGGTGACAACTCCCACATTATTGTCGTATCTAAAAGCAATAAAGGTTCCACCGAGATTTGAACTTGGATCGCTGGATTCAAAGTCCAGAGTGCTAATCGTTACACCATGGAACCCAAACTTCCCATGCCGGGAATGGAACCCGGGCCGCGTGGGTAGAGCCAGGAATCCTTACCACTAGACCACATGGGAGACTCTAGGAACGACCAAACAACGTCTCAATTCGAATTGTTCTTATCTTTGCACATCAGCATTATAATTGTTTTTATAAAAGTTTGGTTTTAATTCTTCTAGGAAGAAAACTTTTTAAGTGGAATTTGAGAACGCATGGACTGAATAGAGAAACGTATTTTATTTTGCATGATTTCACTTCTCTGGAAGCAGATGTAATTCACACAAACTTTAAATTTACAATAGAAAAATCATTTACAAATTTTCGCTTCGTACTGCGTTCATTGGAACAGGAATTTACTACACAAGCCTTTTTCACATTAAAAATATCACTCTTATCAAGTTTTCTTTCAGATTCCGGATTTTGATAAGCTCTTCCTCAGAGGTGACAACTCTCACATTACTGTCGTATCTAAAAGCAATAAAGGTTCCACCGATATTTTAACTCGGATCGCTGGATTCAAAGTCCAGAGTGCTAACCGTTACACCATGGAACCCAAACTTCCCATGCCGGGAATCGAACCCGGGCCGCCTGGGTGAGAGCCAGGAATCCTTGCACTAGACCACATGGGACTTCAAGTACATTTCCTTTCAAGTACATTCGGATTTTTGTGAAAATGCAATGTCTTTATTTCTTTATCTAATTTTTTTTAAACAGTTGAAGTATTTTTATCAAAAAAGTCACTTTTTTACTTTTAAAACAATGTTTACCGAAACAAATATTTTTTACACCATCTTTCCCGAAATATATAAGACTTTGATTTTTAAAGAGAAAAGAACAGTCCATTGCTTAGAGTCGAATAATCAAAGGTGAATTGAATATTTCGATATCAAAAACATTTCTCAAATAGTAATTGCTCGAGACAGACGCTTCAAGCTAAGACGGCTCCAAAACAGTAACAAAATGCCCCGGTGAGGTTCGAACTCACGACCTTCAGATTTCCCAAGTTGCGGATTATGAGACTGACGCGCTGCCTACTTCGCTACCGAGGCTCGGGGGACGAAAGGAAATATTTTCATTGCAACGAAACTGTTTGTGTTATATCTTTTCAATCCACTTCCTACAAATACGGATTTGTGCACGTAGCGGGACATTAAATGTTTTTAGAAGACATTATCATCCTTCGTGATTATAGAGACACTGGATGTGAAAATCGTTACAACGTAATGTAACTTACGATCTATGTGTTTCTTTTTCAATATTCTTTTGAAATAGGCCGTCCGGAAAGGTAATTTAAGCATGAAGGAAAATGAACTAATCAACAGAAATTTTCAATCTGTTAACCTCATTTAAATAAATCCGTTTGTCTCGAAAGAACCTTGTTATTTTTATATTCATAGATTAATATTTTTATCTTTAATGCTTTTAAATTCTCTCTTCCTTTTCAAACTCTTACAAGTTTTGAATTCTACATGTACGTCTTGATAGGTGTCAATAACATCTGTTTCAAAAGCAAGGTTCCACCGAGATTTGACCTCGGATCGCTGATTCCGAGTCAGAGTGCTAACCATTACACATGGAACCCTTATTTCCCATGCGGGAATCGAACCGGGCCGCCTGGGTGAAAGCCAGGAATCCTAACCACTAGACCACATGGGAGACTCTAGGAACGATCAAACAACGTCTCAATTCGAATTGTTCTTATCTTTGCACATCAGCATTATAATTGTTTTTATAAAAGTTTGGTTTTAATTCTTCTCGAAAGAAACATTTTTAAGTGGAATTGAGGACGCATGGACTGAATAGAGAAACGTATTTTATTTTGCATGATTTCACTTTCTCTCGAAGCAGATGAAATTCACAAAACTTTAAATTTACAATAGAAAAATCATTTACAAATTTCGCTTCGTACTGCGTTCATTGGAACAGGAATTTACTATACAAGCCTTTTTCACATTAAAAAATATCACTCTTATCAAGTTTTCTTTCAGATTCGGATTTGGATAAGCTCTTCCTCAGAGGTGACAACTCCCACATTATTGTCGTATCTAAAAGCAATAAAGTTCCACCGAGATTTGAACTCGGATCGCTGGATTCAAAGTCCAGAGTGCTAACCGTTACACCATGGAACCCAAACTTCCCATGCCGGAATCGAACCCGGGCCGCTGGGTGAGAGCCAGGAATCCTTGCCACTAGACCACATGGACTCCCTTTCCAGTACATTCGGATTTTGTGAAAATGCAATGTCTTTATTTCTTTATCTAATTTTTTAAACAGTTGAAGTATTTTTATCAAAAAACGTCACTTTTTTACTTCTAAACAATGTTTACCGAAACAAATATTTTTTACACCATCTTTCCCGAAATATATAAGACTTTGATTTTTAAAGAGAAAAGAACAGTCCATTGCTTAGAGTCGAATAATCAAAGGTGAATTGAATATTTCGATATCAAAACATTTCTCAAATAGTAATTGCTCGAGACAGACGCTTCAAGCTAAGACGGCTCCAAAACAGTAACAAATGCCCGGTGAGGTTCGAACTCACGACCTTCAGATTTCTCCAAGTTGCGGATTATGAGACTGACGCGCTGCCTACTGCGCTACCGAGGCTCGGGGACGAAAGGAAATATTTTCATTGCAACGAAACTGTTTGTGTTATATCTTTTCAATCAACTTCCTACAAATACGGATTTGTGCACGTAGCGGGACATTAAATGTTTTTTAGAAGACATTTCATCCTTCGTGATTATAGAGACACTGGATGTGAAAATCTTACAACGTAATGTAACTTACGATCTATGTGTTTCTTTTTCAATATTCTTTTGAAATAGCCGTCCGGAAAGTAATTTAAGCATGAAGGAAAATGAACTAATCAACAGAAATTTTCAAATCCGTTAAATCATTTAAATAAATCCGTTTGTCTCGAAAGAACCTTGTTATTTTTATATTCATAGAATTAATTTTTTATCTTTAATGCTTTTAAATTCTCTCTTCCTTTTCAAACTCTTACAAGTTTCGAATTCTACATGTACGTCTTGATAGGTGTCAATAACATCTGTTTCCAAAGCAAGGTTCCACCGAGATTTGAACTCGGATCGCTGGATCCGAGTACAGATTGCTAACCATTACACCATGGAACCCATATTTCCCATGCCGGGAATCGAACCCGCGCCGCCTGGGTGAAAGCCAGGAATCCTAACCACTAGACCACATGGGAGACTCTAGGAACGACCAAACAACGTCTCAATTCGAATTGTTCTTATCTTTGCACATCAGCATTATAATTGTTTTTATAAAAGTTTGGTTTTATTCTTCTGGAAAGAAAACTTTTTAAGTGGAATTTGAGACGCATGGACTGAATAGAGAAACGTATTTTATTTTGCATGATTTCACTTTCTCTGAAGCAGATGAATTCACACAAACTTTAAATTTACAATAGAAAAATCATTTACAAATTTTCGCTTCGTACTGCGTTCATTGGAACAGGAATTTACTATACAAGCCTTTTTCACATTAAAAAATATTCACCTTTCAAGTTTTTTTCAGATTCCGGATTTGGATAAGCTCTTCCTCAGAGGTGACAACTCCCACATTATTGTCGTATCTAAAAGCAATAAAGGTTCCACCGAGATTTGAACTCGATCGCTGGATTCAAATCCAGAGTGCTAACCGTTACACCATGGAACCCAAACTTCCCATGCCGGGAATGAACCCGGGCCGCGTGGGTGAGAGCCAGGAATCCTTACCACTAGACCACA